ACAGAAGCAGTATTGTTTGCAACACACTGACCACTGATTCAGTGATTTAAAATACAGTCACTAGTCACATACCTGTCACTAATTGGCTGACCCCAGGCAAGCACACATGAGCCACAAGACCCCCAAAGTGGTGAGTAACTGCAGGGGCTGGGGAAATCAGTGTTCCAGGACCGTACTGTACAATGGGAACGTGGCTCTTGTGGAGAGCCAGCACTGGGGGGGGGGAGGTGGCTGATAAACATTCCTGTCCCCACATTTTCCACAGGCTGTGTTCATTATGGAAGATATCTCGCTGCTGCGGGTGAGCAGGGAATCAAGGGAGGGTCTTCTCCAAGCCTGCGGCTTTCTCCCTGGCCCTTATGCGGCTCGCCTGTGTGCAGCAAGGCTCCGTCCCCCCAGTGACGGCAGAGTGGTGTGGGAAAGTTACCTTTAATGGGGCAAGAAACAAAGCAGCTCTACCAAAGAACCTGTGGCAGCGGATTGCCCAGTATCTCCATGAGAGTTTCCTGGAGATCTCTGAGGCAGATTCCCGTAGGGTGACCAGACAGGAAGTGTGAAAAATCAGGACGGGGGTGGGGGGTAATAGGCACCTATATAAGACACAGCCCCAAATATCGGGACTGTCCCTATAAAATTGGGACATCTGGTCACCCTAGATTCCCGTGAAGTGAGGGAATCAATCAACACCCTGTTCTGCTGCTCAGACTAGGCATGTGGTGGTACGCACATCATACAGACAAGTCTGTTTTCTGCAACCCTCCTGCCCCCAACAACTTGCCTCAGTGATTCCTAAAATCAAAGCCACTTACCAGGGGCCGCCTCTCCTGTTTGCGCTTCGCCAAGTTCTGACAGTTGTGACTGGCTAGCCTCCTCCAGGGTGGAGAAGAGCTCCTGGCTGCATGCATCTTTGACCTCTGAGTCGTCCTCTGCCTCTGGGTCCTCCTCCCCCTCCACATCCTCGTCCAAGATTTCCTCCTCCTGGCTCGGTCCACTCTTGACTGGCATGCGAGCCACCAAAGTATCCACAGGGACCTTTCTCATGGAGGTGGGGTCGCCGCTGAGTATCGCGTCCAGCTCTTTGTAGAATCGGCAACTCGTGGGCACAACACCGGAGCGGCGGTTTGCCTCCCACACCTTGTGGTAGGTGTTCCGCAGCTCCTTCACTTTAACCCTGCACTGCAGTGTGTCCCGGTCATGGCCCCTTTCTGTCATGCATCGCGAAATCTGTTCGCAGGTATCATAATTCCTATGGCTGGAGTGCAACTGGGACTGCACAGCCTCCTCTCCCCAAATGCTGATGAGGTCTGCAGCTCGGCATTGCTCCAAGCGGGGGATCGCCTGGTGCGTGGAGCAGGCATGGTCACCTGGAAAGATGCGCTGAGACCACTGCACGTGTCACCGAGCAAACAGGAAGGGGACTTTCAAAATTCCCACAGAATTTAAGGGGTGGGGCTCACAGTTCGTCACCTGAGGGTAGGGCAGTAGAGTTCAAACCGATGACCAGAGAGGCGAGAACAGGCATTGTGGGACACGTCCTGGAGGCCAATCGCAGCGCTGTAATCAACCAGAGTGCCTACACTGGCACCGCGGTGCTGTACCCCCGGCGCAGATAACTGTACGCCTCTCATCGGGGTGAGTTTTTTACAGCGCTGCAACTGTGCAGTTTCTGTGCACTAAGTGGCTTGGCAGTGTGTACACCTCGGGAGTTACAGCGCAGAAAGCTGCTTTACTGCGCAGAAATTTGCCAGTATAGACAAGGCCTGAGGTACAAGAAGTTGAACTGCCCAAGGCCACATAGGAATTAAGTGGCAGGGCCAGAAAAAGAGCTCAGAAGTTCCTGACTCCAGCTGCTGTGCTTATTCCTTTTGGCCATACTGTTTCATCTCTCATATGAGAAAACCAGAGATGGTGGGAGCAAAGAACAATCACACACACACACACTTTTTACAAAAATTATAATTAGATAAATCTATAAAGATCAATGAGGAAAAATCATATATAATACTTTAGTAAATAAAAGCAAAGACAAAAAATACTCTATGGCAAAGACAATTTGAAGTAAGAACATAAGAATGGCCGTACTGGGTCAGACCAAAGGTCCATCCAGCCCAGTATCCTGTCTACTGACAGTGGCCAATGCCAGGTGCCCCAGAGGGAGTGAACCTAACAGGTAACGATCAAGTGATCTCTCTCCTGCCATCCATCTCCACCTTCTGACAAACAGAGGCTAGGGACACCCATTTCTTACCCATCCTGGCTAATAGCCATTAATGGACTTAACCTCCATGAATTTATCTAGTTCTCTTTTAAACCCTGTTATAGTCCTAGCCTTCACAACCTCCTCAGGCAAGGAGTTCCACAGGTTAACTGTGCGCTGTGTGAAGAAGAACTTCCTTTTATTTATTTTAAACCTGCTGCCCATTAATTTCATTTGGTGGCCCCTAGTTCTTATATTATTGGAACAAGTAAATAACTTTTCCTTATTCACTTTCTCCACACCACTCATGATTTTATATACCTCTATCATATCCTCCCTTAGTCTCCTCTTTTGCAAGCTGAAAAGTCCTAGCCTCTTTAATCTCTCCTCATATGGGACCCTTTCCAAACCCCTAATCATTTTAGTTGCCCTTCTCTGAACCTTTTCTAATGCCAGTATAACTTTTTTGAGATGAGGAGACCACATCTGTACGCAGTATTCAAGATGTGGGCGTACCATGGATTTATATAAGGGCAATAAGATATTAATGTATTGAGCTGATAAAATATTAACTGCATATCAATATTGTATTAAATTCTGGTAGTGGAGCTGCATGTATATGATCAAGTATGTGTTTTCAGCATGACTTCTGCTTAAGCTGCAAATTAATAAACATATATGCTAATAAGTCAAACTGTCAAGGAACTGATTAGTTTTCCATCACTAGAACACAGTGAAAAAGTTCTAGTGAAGTGTTGGCCTGTGGCAGAATCTGGCACCCCACTGTTAATCAACCTCACAGCATGTGAACATATTAATAGGACCAGAAATCTGTGCTTCAGTAAAAGACCTGCCTGCACTTCTAAAATAAAAGCACCATTTTCAAAAACCAATAGTAGTGCTATTCTGAATCAAGCTGATGTACCCAGAACATTGTCCTGTGAGCAGAAAGGGCGCTGGTAAGATCATATATACGTAGTCCCACGAGATAAACACAATGATCACACCATGCAAAGTGAGAATAAAATTCAGCAATATTATGAAACATTGCCTATTGCCTGGTGGTGATATTGCACAGTTGCATTTGACAAGAGAAGAGCTGTGTTTCGACCATGGAGTTTTCCCTATAACAAGGGGGAGGATGAAGTGATTGGAGAACAGCCTTACACCAGCACTGGGGCTGAGCTGGTAGAATGTACCATTATTCTTTAATTTGGATGCAGAGTTTGAAGGGACTTCCACAACAGCAATGCATGCCAGTTTTCAGAGGCCTAACAATTCTGAGCCATAGCCCTGTCCACAAATTGTCACTTGATTCACTACCCTAACAAGCTAAGACCTTCAAATGGCACAGCTTACAAACTCTGAATTGACATATCCAGTTGTAATGGGTTGGCAACAACCATGAGGCAGGTAAAGTTATTCCAGGTTTTAGGCCTTTAAACCGCTCAAGTTTACAAATGTCATAAGACCACTTACTTTTCTAAAGTTCCTCTGACTGAACTATTGTCCCCTTAACTCAGTTATTTGGCCTGTACTTATATTGATATAAAACATCATTCTCTTTTTAGGCGGTCCATCAGGCCTGGATTAGTCCAGGGCTGGGTCCTGAACCTAGGCAAGTGCCAGGGTCATTCAAAAGTTAGATGTGCTGATCCACTACTGGTACCTAGGTAGACTGTGGCATTATGACCGGCGGCAGAGGCAGATAGCATGGTCTGGGGTGCAGCGGCCCACCACCTCACAGCCAACTGGGTGGTGATATATCCACTGGTGGCACTAGCAGAACCATGGATGAAATATGTTTCACAGGGAAGCCAGAAGGAACTAGGGACCAAGATTTTTGGAAGCACTCAGTACCCAGCAGCTCCCATTGCTCTCTTGTTCTCCATGGGAGCTGCTGGGTGCTGAGAAATTTTGAATCGCTGCCTGCTTCATTTAGATACCTGAATGGGGGCTGAGAGTTTTTAAAAATCTGTCCACTGGAATGGAAAAGGGGAGAGCATCAATTAGCCTCTGTTCCAGGTCATGCCAGAGGCCAAAAAGTTAACCAGGGGAAAGAGGAATGAAGATGCAGCAGGCAGCACATGCTTACTTAGACCTGTAGACCCAAACTCTTGCTACATATTGCACCAAATCTGGGGTAACAAGCAGTCACCAGAGATGCAGGGGAGGGAGGGCAAGGCCAGAACAGCTGAGAAAGGTAGATTTTATTCCCTTTCAATGGGATTTCTGGGGACAAGATGGGACTTGGGGCTCTGAAAAAGGAAGAATGCGTCTTTGAGGAGTGTCCTGATAAGGTGACAGCAGAAGAGTCTGGAAGGAGATCCTGACTAGAATGAAGCTTGTCCCTGACAAAGCCCAACATTTTGGCCAATCCAATCCTCAACAGCATTAATATGCCACAGGCTATCTGGATTCCTCTGATCAATTGCCTTCCACAGCAGCACAGACCTTTCCATTGTTTGCGCCAACCTCAGCAAGGCAGGAGCTTGACAGGAAAAGAATATTCAACTTTCTCCCAGCATTTGACCCACAGACTCCCAACTTGTCACAGCACAGAGTCCTTAGGAGGAAGATGTAGACTCTGCCACTCATGCACACCTGTTGAAAGGAGGCCAGTCTACCCTCTACAGTCACTGAATGAATTGCTGAGAGAGGAACAGTAAGATGGACAAAAGGCAAGCTTAAAAACAGATAGCCCACTTGAAAATTCCACAGATATGTATGCTGTATTAATTGCTAGGTGGTCTACTAATGTAAATTTCTTAATGTAACTATAGCCCTCGGGTAATTTTCTTACCTCAGTTCGATTAAAGTCCCTGGTCTGTTGACTGACTGGCAATGACTCAGAATAAGAATCCAATAATGCGCAGTCACGTTTAGGCTTAAAGGAAGCTGGAGGGAAAGCAAAGATACATGTCTTTGTTTAATAATACATATATTTTACATGTATTAGATTATTATTTTTCCTCCCCACCCCTTCATACTGCAATTGATCTGGATAACAAGGTGATAAGTACTGTATAGAGAATCATTTTCTCTTGTATTATTTTTAAGTAACAACATGTTGTGATGTACAAGTCTAATATATTGTAGAAACAATCGGGTGGAACTGAGGACAGATTTAGATACTATTCAGCCACCCGAAAACAACTATGACTGAAGTTTTATTTGTGTCTTTCCTTCCTGGGATCTAGAGTCAATATAGTAGGCGTAACAGATTACAGACTAGAGTGCTAGAACTATAAAACCTATTTGACAGGCCTGCAACTTCCTGTTTGTGTTATCTAGAAATGGGGAATGTATTAGAACCAACACTATGCAATATAACTAAATGTCAGTGAAAAGCATGAAGACTAATCACAACACTTGCTTCAGTCGGTATCAGCTTTAATAGTTTTCAATCAGGTAAATACTGGGAGCAGGAGAAACAACCCTGCAATTTGTTAAGGTAATATTTGCAACACCCATGTTTTTGTTCTATATACATGGACCCTTCTGCTAACACTTCTCAGGGATTAGTCCCTCTAAATCATTAAGCATCTTGGTAGCTAGAAAACCTATTTTTCTTAAGATTAATATGTTGAGTAGCAGAATAATCAATTCACAAGTCCAGTTTCTAGTTTCTGATTAGCATCTGGTCCCTCCAAACAAACTAAGCTTTTACAAATCTGTATTAATTTAAAACACAGTTAGGTTACTAGACAGGGCAATCAGCTTTAGGGTTTTTTATTTTAATTCAAGAAAAGCTTTCAAAGCAAAACACAGTGGGTCAAGTTCTTAATAGAGTTACCCCAGCACAGAATTTAGCCCTGAACTTGTAGTTCATAAAACAAGCCAAATAAGTAGCAAAATCAATTCATCCTTAAATGCTTCTTTTGAAAGTCACTTCTTTATTTTAAATTTTAACATTTTGATCAAATGCAAAAAATTCTGCTTGAGCCTTATGAATAAAGTACTAAGTCTACCTCATACTGGACTTAATACAACAGGCTAATGAGAAGTGCTATCAAATAGACTTACATTCCTAAATGGCCAAGCAAAACCTTGATTTCATAGACATTAAACTATGGTATAGGACTTCTCCCATAAAAAATGTTTCATACCAAGTTGTCATAAATTCTAGTGTTGTACTTGGAAGTGAGTGTAAAAAGGGTCCATTACATATACAGGGAAGCACACCATACTGCTTTATTTATTTATTTATTTATATGCATATTCCAAAAATTGTTGGTTCAGAAGCCTGTACTATATGTGATTCACTGTGCAAGGGTTTTTTTCAAATACACACTTCTCCTTTCAAAAACTCCATCTTTATTTGTGAATCTTGTCTAAATAGAGCTGTAAGCATTAGCTAAACGTTAAATACCTCAACTACTCTGCCAATATCACTGCTAGAACTAATGGTTAGCCCTTGAAACGCTTTGCTGCTTAAAAGAAACAAAGCAGAGCTCATTTAGGAAGATAGAAGGCTACAGTGCAAACAGGGGAGTTCAGAACGAAAGCTAGGTGCAAATAAGAGGAAAAAATATATAGGAAAAAATCTCCCAGGCAACTGTCTGCCCTACTTTTTAAAACGTAAAAAGCACAAGGACATAGTGAGACACCATCGGCCAGGATGATAAGCAGCTATTATCATCTGCCTTTGTTTATCCTCATGTATTTTTTTTTTATTAAAATTAAGATATTAGAAGTGCCAAACTGACACAATGAAAACTGATGTCCTCTATCAACAGGTCAGATACTAAATGGACAGCAATAATGCAAGCTTCCCCCCACCATCCTGCCAACGTGCCTCAACTCTGACCTGGAGGAAACACCTCAAAGGATGAAGGAACACAGACACTCACTATCCGTGCTCATTCAGTCCTTGCTCTGTGCTCAAACTGCCAATAAAAGGTGCTAACTAGTGCAAACTGTGATCATGACTTTTCTTTTTAATATTGGTACCTGTCTTCTAGCCAGGAATGAGACAGAGACAACCAAACTCGCCTCATGTAGGACACCAGACTACTCTCAGGCCAGGTCTACACTACAGACCTATAGTGGTATAATTACGTCGCTCACCCCCCCCCCCCCGAGCAACATAGTTATACCGATCTAACTGCTGACATAGCTACCCCTTTTCAGGGAGCTGGATTAACTACGCCAACAGGAGAAGCTCTCCTGTCAGCATAAGAGCGTCTTCACTAAAGTGCTACAGTGGAAAGGTGCAGCTGAAGACAAACCCTGGGTCACTAGAAGCACAAACTAGATTCTAGCTAGTGACCTAGACATGTCAGACATTGTATTCCAGTATCGTCTTCCTGAGCTATCCATTCCCAGTTGTCCCTTCTAGAAAAGTCCCAAACAATGTAATATGGACAAAACCATTAGTCTCCACTGAAATTTTCTACTGAAATGATTCTAAAACCCTATAATTTTACAGAAAATTGTACTAACTCTAGAGGATTTTGGTTTTTTTAAACTAACCCTTACAAGAGAACTTTATAGGAATGTAATTGCCTATTAAATTCTATCAGATGGCTTAAAAAGCCTAGAGAAAGGTTCTTATTATCTATTAAATACTATAAAAAAAACTTATCCAAAAATACTAAATATTAGTTAGTAGGATGACAAACATTCTGCAATAGCTAGAAACAAACCTGTTTGCAATTTAGCCTTTTGTTCTCAAATTTGCAGTGGAAATGCCTTTAGTTAATAAAAGCTTGGTGGATATTTATGAACAGCTGGATGCAATTCAAGTATTTGGTTTTAATTCAAGACATTAGGAGGAGGCCAAGAGAAAAACTGAAGACAGAGATGAAGAAGGCTAGCTTAGAAAACACACAACCTGATTCATGCCAAGTGAGAGGTTCATAGTGTGGTCAGAAAAATGCCCTATTATTACTACTAATTCTTTCTATTACAGTAGCACCCAGAGGCCATAATCATGACATGCTCAAGGTTCTACAGCGAAAGGCACTGTATAGAAAGACAAGATCCCTGTCTTGACCAGCTTACAGTCTAATTTAAAATGAGACTAGAAGCGAGCATAACAAACAGGAAGGAGAGCCTGAGGCAGGGAAGATGGAGGTGATAGTGATAAGGACACACGATTATGCAGACTAATAGTGTGAACATCTTGAAGGTTGATGTTTCATAAATAGTTTATACCCTTGGATATGAAGATGGTGGATTGTAGAGAACAGGAATCTGACAGAAATTACTTCAGTGAATTGATACAGGGGGGACATTTAATTTTTTAACTACAACTTGATTTGCTCTTTTCCTCTCCTTTTAAAGTGCCAGCAAATTTAATGGAGATTTTATTAGCTCTTATATATTATCTCTTAGGACTGTAACTATTATCAGCAATTAATCCTCTTCACCCTAGAAAGCTGTGCACATTTTTTAATTGAAGGGTATGCACTTCAGTGTTAATATATAATGAAAATTGACAACATATGTCAATATTTCTCAACTGTACCTCAGTAATGAGGTACATCACACATTGTAGACTCATTTATCCCCGTCCCACACAAACTGGTGAAATCTCACTGTTAATTGTAAAATATTAACAGTAGGAATGGCAGATCAGGAAAATGAGTTATAGAAAAATGTGAGCTCTGCTAAAATCAGTAATCATATACAGCATTCAAGATAACCTGTAAAGCAGGTCAGTAATATTCCATCATTTCAAATATGCCTCCAAGAGTCATTAGAGCAAGACAACACATAAGCTAAAAGTCACCTACTTCATATGTAAAGTCTTGTGACATCCAGATCTGCCACTCCTAGCTATGCCTCATGTTAGTAGAATCTAGACAGTAGAATTCTAGTAGACACTAGTATTTCAATAGAGCATGGGGACAGCCTATAGGGAACAGAGACTTTGGAGGGGCAGGGGTCCCCTCAAGTTCCCTCCAGATCCCACTTCAGATCCTCGTACTGTCTTTCTCTCCCCACAGCATATGTCCAAGGGGTTCTTGGAGCAAACAAACAAAAAGTGAAAAGTCCTCTCCCCTCTTTCTTCCCTTATGGGGAGAGGAAAGCATAGAAAATTGAAAAGACACAAGGGTGACCTGGAATTTAGGCAGTCTTCCTGGGTCAGCCTTTAGAACTTAATCTACACAAGGGCCACCTCCAGCCCCTCCTCATGGGGTGTGCTGCTCTGAGGCTGGGCCGTGCAGCTTCAGGAGAGGTGAGGCTTATTGCTGTCTCCCTCTGGGCAGGCCTTTCTCAGTTGTCTGGGACGGGGCAATCTTCTCCCTGTTCACGTCCCCTGCCCTCTTTCCTGTGGCAGGTTTTCCCTTTTGAACATCCCCGCCCCCACCCCGCTCCAGGAAGAACAGGCCTTGCAGGTGTGCCTCATTGGTGCTGACCAGGCCCAGAGGAGCTTATTAGTCCCCTCTTTGTCAGTGTGCAGGTGTGCTCCTTCACAGAGACATGCTGCTGCTGCTTTTTTTTTTTTTTTTTTAATTTTTTGGTTCTTCTTTAGCCTTTTCCCTTTAAGCATAACTAAAAATCAATGTTTTATCAAGCTACATCGAGAGGTAGTACTCAGCTTCTAGCTAAATCTTTGTCTCTTACTAAAAAAGGCTGTTCTGGATGAACGACGAGTTGGTACAGGAATATCACAGCCTCACCTGGTTGAAGGTAATCTGGCAGTAAGGTCTCCGGCAGCGTATCTGGCAATGGATAACCATTCTTCCTAGCAACAATGAGGTGAAATGCAGCACAGAATTCTGGCAGCGTCAGCGCTCCATCACAGTCTACATCGCTCAGCTCCCTGTGAACATGGTATTCACACATTTCCTGAGCCATTGCAGGAATGAAACATATACACAAACACACACACACACAGAGCATATTCTTTATGTAAAAAGGTAACAATTCCCAAGTAAGTGGGATTTTTTTAAAAATACTGTTTATTTTTTTAAACATTTCCCTTTGAGAAGTGGAACAATCTGACTTTCCAATACTAAGAAGATTTTATATGGGGAAAAAAGTGCTTTCTCTTTATGCCACATCATACAATATTTTCTATCTGGTATTTCAAAAACTGAAATTTGTCAAGAAATTATATTTGAGTACCCAAATTCAATCTCTCTTTCCGAAATGGTGTTGACAAACTGTTCGGTTGGTCTATGCTAGCACTTAAACCCTATTCAGTACTGTTTCAGGCAGACCGATCAATGCAAACAGTTTTCAGAAAGTGCTTAATTACCAAGTGTAGACCGGCCTTATGAGCTGCACAGCTGGATTAACTAATGCTGGTGGCAGTTTGGACTGTTAGCATTAAACTGTCCATTAGCACTGCTGTTTGTTTAGTTTTAGTTTAAGCGTGAAACAGCAGCAGAGGATTTCAGAAGCACATGAACACAGTTTCATAGACTACACCTTCTGGAAAATTTTAGAATTAATTTAGTATTAATATAATGGCTAAAATGGAGCAATAGTTACTTCATCACTGTTTCAAAGTGAAGGAACAATGTTTCAAGCAGTCAAGGTTACAGTGAAGACTGAAATGCTCCTCAATTTTAGCAAGACTGAAATGCTCCTCAATTTTAGCAAAGGCGTTTTTGCCTGATAAACTATATCATGCAAGATTTCAAATTGCTCCTAGAAAGGAACATTTTCTTTTGTACTGCTATACAGAGCACAATTAATGTTTGTAACATAAATAAAATGTTTTTGGTTATCATAGTGGGTTAAGTAGTTTTTCTTAAATAATTTTTAAATTAAATTCCAGTGCTCATTTTTCCCCAGAGAATGTTTCTTTAGCCTTTTTTTTCATGATTCACAACTAGCTTTGAAACTATTCCAGGCAAATTCTCTGAACCCAACAGATGTTTGGGCTCTTGCAAGCTTTTCTTAAAATCTATCTTCATAAAAGTATATAGCTATAGTGAAATAAGAGTTCCCTTTATCAGCATTTTTGGTGAATATTTAGAACAGTTTGTTCCTCATATCAAGATAGGATGACGGTACAAGAACCATTATGTTTATGGAAATATAATAAGATCCTTATAAATTGTATTGTATACAAGTGCCATCTGCAATGGTCTCTAAACAAACTCATTAAAAACAAGAGTGCTGGCTCATTAATAAAAGCACTGATGAATTATGCAGATGTACTTATTAAAAATTAGGTATTAATTAGGCCTCATCTCACAAATCACAGCCAGAAACATAAAGCTAACTGAACACATCTAAAATATTCCAAATGTGTTTTTCTTCTAAACCATTTCATGAAATATGTCTTTTCATTGAGCTAATGACGTTTCTTATAATATTCTTAAGAACGGCTATCATTTATATTGCTATTAAAATATCTGCAGTCCTGTTGAGTAAAAGAGTAGCTCTAAAAAGATAACAAGCATGCCAGGAAGATCAACACGCACCCCGCTGCTTGGACCTGAAAGTGATTTTGATGATAAGAGCAATAATTATAATTACTCTAAATACACTTTTTCAATCTAACAAAAACTCTTGAGCTAAAATGTCTTTTAAAACAAGCATCCATATTCTGGGTTACACTACAGTACTCACCATATGTGAGAAAGTTCTGGGATGGGAAGCTTGGATTTTGTGAAGAAATTCTTAGCCACGGAACCTGTCAAGAACAGTGAAACAGGCATTTGATAGGTTTCAGAGGGGTAGCCGTGTTAGTCTGTATCAGCAAAAACAATGAAGAATCCTTGTGGCACCTTAGAGACTAACAAATTTATCTGGGCTAATGCCCAAATAAATTTGTTAGTCTCTAAGATGCCACAAGGATTGCTAGGCATTTGATATTCATCTTCCAATCTGATTTTGTTTGTTTTTCTATAAAGCTGCAACAGCATCAGCAGCTTGTTATTTCACATTCAACAGACGCTCTGATTGTTGGATACTAGTATAGTTGCTTGGCCATTTGTCTCTTGGTGAGTCACCGAGATGGGACAGGCCAAGCAGAGCAGTTGACCTCATTTCTCTACTTCTCCTCTCCACGTGGGAAAAATATTAATGGATGAAAACATGCCTAAATATCACTATTATCATCATCAGTACGTCATTATGAATACAAAGAAAGGAAAACGGAGATAAATGGCTTCCTTTCCAGAGAAAAGGATGCTTCTAATCACATGCCAAGTATGTGGCAGCAAATGGCCCTGCACCGTCTATGCTACTCCCACAGTGACTTTCTCTGCTTTCAGGCCTGCTGTGGTCCTATCATCATGAAAGAAAAACTAGAGCAGGGATGGCCAACCTGTGGCTTCAGAGCCGCATGTGGCTCTTCAGAGGTTAATATGCAGCTCCTTGCATAGGAGCTTACTCCAGGGCTGGAGTTACAGATGCTAACTTTCCAATGTGCTGGGGTGTACTCACTGCTCAACCCCCTGCTCTGCCCCAGGCCCTGCCCCCATTCCACCTCTACCCCGAAAGCCCCTGCCCCCAACCCTGCCATGCCCTCACTCCTCCCCCTCCCCCACAGAGCCGCCTACGCATGCGAAACAGCTGATTGCAGCAGGCAGGAGGCGCTGGAGGGCTGCTGACGTATTACTGTGGCTCTTTGGCAATGTACATTGGTAAATTCTGGCTCCTTCTCCAGCTCAGGGTGGCCACCCCTGAACTTAGAGGAACCAACTAAGCATCCTGCTACAGTCTTCACTACCAGTTGTGAACATCCTCTGTAGCCCTCTCATAATAAGCAATCTGATTTCCCTCCCAGCCAACAAACCCCTGCTGAGCCCTCTGCAGTGATAAGAAGCTCACTATGCATCCAGCTGTCAAACACTGTCTCAGGCAAATAGGCTACAGGGATGGCAAAAGTCTGCCTTAGACCCTTGCACCTTTTACTTCACATAAGCCTGCAAAACATAAGGCCAACCCCGTTCAGAGCCATTATATACAGATCTATAATCCTGCCTCCCACTGCAGTTAATAGTAACTCTGGGTGTGCATGAAATGCAATGTCTGGCCCTATGAGGCTCTCTCTCGGAATAGATAGAGCAAACATCTTGCATATTCTAAAGAGTGCATTCTGGTATAAACAAAGTTTACTATATGCAGCTTCATTGGAAATCCACTATGTGTTGAAGTTCCATTTTCTTTTCCCTCCTACAAGGAAGATCAGTTGGAGAAGATTTAACCAAGGGGAAAAAACTGATGAAGTGCTGATTTCTGCCAAGATCAAGCAATTATTTTAAAACCTGTGTCTGAGGTCAGAATTCCTGAATCCCGAAGTGTTGGATTGCAATAATATAACCTCAGAGGACATAGTCAAAATGCCTGTAGTTAAAATCTGTGGCTTTTCCTTGCCAGACTAACTCACAGTACCTAGAATAATTCCTCTCACAAGAAGTCTGGTCAGTGAAAATCTGATTTTTAAGATCAGCTACAATACTGTTACCATGTGTGTGCTATGCAGGGTTTACATTTAACCGCTTAAGGACCAACAACTCAATCCTACAGAGTGCTGAGCATCCTGATATGATCCTGTAGAACAGTTAAACAGATCATTAACTCTAAGCACCTAAACAGTCCCATTGACTTTAATAGGAAAGTAGTTAAGTACATGCTTGTGTTTTTATGGATCAGGCCAGAGCTTGGCACTTTGCAGGACTGAGCCCCAAATGCTGTCTTCAGATTCAAACAATTTATTTTAACTTCCCACTGAATTTTTAAAGTGTGTTTCTAATCTGAAAAATTAGTATGCGAAACTCTCACATTCTTCCTCAAAAGATCTACTCCCAGTGTGTGATTAGAATCATATATATTCATTTTAGTGACAAATATACATTTATTTTATTTTTTTATTCCTCTTTTATTCCTGCAGCCACCACAGCTGAGAGAAATAGCTGGACTCTAGTCCTCCTTGTGCATCATCAAAAGATTTTCTTTTTGTTGCTAAATTCCAGTCAATGACACTTGTATAAACTCTCTGAAGACAATGGGATTGCAAAGTTGTAAGTGAGGACAGCATTTGGCCTGCAGAACATTTATTTCTGATGATGACACACAAGAAAGAATTAACCCAGTTTGGCTCTCAGATCCCAGAGTGAGTTTGCAGGGATGGCAGTTAAGAAAAAATATTTTACCTGTAAACAGAGAGCATGTGGTATTAAAATACACATTTAACCTGTAACCCATTTTGGAGTCATCTTTAACAGTAGAACCACGCTTTAAATAATTTAAAAAAATTCTTCAAAGAAACTATTATTTTACCCACTGTATTATTTTAATGCTTTAATTCAGTGATTCAGTGGGTCACAGGAAGGTGGTAGATGGGTTGCGGGCCTAGGGTTGTAGGCCCTGGGGGAGAAAAAGAGGATTTGGAGGGCGAGGCGTTTGAGTATGTGGTGTTGTGACCTGGCGCGCCGGGGTTAGGATTGCGGTGTTGGGTGGTGGATGCAGGTAGTTGCTGCCCCCTCTGTAGGGCAAGGAGGAGGCAGCAGAGGAGGATGACGACGCTGGTCTATATTTTTGGGCGCCCCCATGAATTTGAATCCTGGGTGGGTAGCAAAAGAGAGACAAAATGCAATGGGTAGGTTGGTAACTTTTTTAGAAGTTGTTACTTTAAAAAAAAATAAAGATCAACCCTGTCTGGGGCACAAACCTGATCTAAAGATAATTCAAGAAGCTTTCCCTTTATCTACTGTACTTTGCTTTAATTTACAGGCCTTTCATCCTGGTTGTTTTGCTGCACATGCATATTATTTAGTAAATGTTACCTGAAATGAAAGAGTTCAGATCAGGCTGTAGGGATTTGAACTGGTTGATGTAATATTCTCGCTGTTCCTCAGTTATCCTCCAGGGGTCATCTGGGTAATTACTGCTGTCCTGTGGCTCCCTTTCTACTGAAAGAGACTTCAAAAAAAGGGCAAAAAGTCACGTGCAAAAGTGCGGGGAAAGCAGCACACACAGACATTTTAAGAAGTCAGGGTCAGTCTGCACATCTAGCAAGCCCTTTTTAAAGAAACGGGAGCAGAAAGGCCCAAGCCGATTAATATCTGTTACAGTTAGGGCTTATTATAAATGCCCATTTGCTCAGAGAAATACAGGAAGTTTCACATGAATGAAGCTAAAATAAAAAACAAACCCAACTACTGCTGAAGATAGAAAGATCACTCCAACTAGTCATGCAATAAGTTCCATCTCCCCATATTGGTGTTTTATATTGTCACCCATCACCAAAGCATCTGAATGCCTTCCACATAAAATGGATAGCAACAGTGAAGTCCCGAGTGAACTCAATGGAGTCACTGGAATGTCTCCATTGGGGTGGGGGAGGAAAGCGGGAAAGCTGATTGGATTAGCTTTTTTTTTTAAATTGTATTTATTTACTTTTTTTAAGGTTGATTTGTATAAGGTTGTGTTTGTTTGTTTGTTTGCATAGAAGGGGATGTCAATGTTGTGAGCATCACTCTTATGGTGGAAAGAAGCAAACATTTAAAATGCTTTGACCTGCATGACAAAATATTTTAGTGACAGAATGTAGGAAAGAATAAGCTACATGCTCCAGCGAAGTTTAAGACCACTCCTCTGGCTAGGCTGTCAACGTGCTCAAACTCAAATATGTGACTTTGTTTTTTAAAATGTGTTAAAAGATCCCCAAAACAGGAAACATCACAAAATAGTACTTTGTGCTAGTTTGAAATTATGTGAGATTTATTGGTTTAAACTACATGATGTTTTAGATACACTGTTTCCCATGAATCAGCTGAGGTTTTCCCATGTGTAAAAAAAAAAAAAATTAATCATTGATTTAAAAAAAAAAAAATCAAATTCCTGAGGTTATATTATTTCAAGCCACAGTCTACAGTTCAATAAACATTATTTTAAAACTGTTTAATATTAATGAGACCATAGCTTAGAACAGCTTAAAAACCTAGGTCACTCTTCCATAGAGGAAAGTTTGTAAAAATTCATGGAGAAGTTTTGCTCTGTAGTAGACAGACAAGGGGAACAAAAAACATGACTGGTGATTAAAAAACAACAACCCTAACAGTCATGGGGCTTTATTCTCATTTGTACTAAGACCCTTTTAGAAAGTGCTAATGTGTAAACGTGTAATTCATACCCACTTTGAGGCACCTTTACACTCCAGAGCAGTGTAACAGGGCCTTCCTGTAAATGAGAATCAGGCTCATAGTCTTATTCATGAAACCAGCGGCAAACTTACTGCCTTGTTAATTCACAATGGCTTTGTCTACACTAGGCTTTTTTTTCTTAAAATTATTATCCACCATTGCTGCCGTTGGTGAGGTGCTAGTATGGATAGGCCACTGGTAACATTTGGCATTTTAACCACCATGGCATCTAGATAGGGTGACCAGACAGCAAGTGTGAAAAATTGGGATGGGGGTGGGGAGTAATAGGAGCCCATATAAGAAAAAGCCCCAAATATCAGGACTGTCCCTATAAAATCGGGACATCTGGTCACCCTACATCTAGATTTGCTCTTAGCATGATTAGACAACTCGGTGGCTAAAAATGCCAGTGGTCAATCTAGTCTATACAAATTCCCGCACAGTTGGTTCTACTGGTGAAGCTGCACCATTGGTTGCCACAGTGAGAAATCTGAAGAAATATATCTAATGTACATCTTATGCAGCCAACAAGATAAACAAAGCGTGCAAAATCCAACTAAAAAATACTCAGAAGAACCAGGACTCTGGGCTTGTAACTCAAGTATGCAGTATTTTATCAGAAACATTTTTGTGGTCATGAAATTTTCATCAAAGTTGGACTCAAAATTTGGTACACTATTTAGATTCTCGAGAAGCTTGAAGTATTTTAGACTTCTGTCTGATGCCCCAGAGCTCAAGGAATCTGCATAGCCTAGCGTCATACAGACAATGCCGCAGCCTCACAGCAACATTGTTTGCCAGTGCAACATAGAACCACTACTGTATTGGCAGCTCAAGAAGGATTTGGCCTGCCCTTTTACAATTAGTCACCAGTGCTGGCCTTTATTGGCATCAGTACTTCCATTAGTTCTTGTGTCACTGGGATGAACTCTCAGGTCCTGTGTCAGGCTGATGGACCAGATGCTGGGGATCTTCTCTGTGAAATAAGAGGATAATTCCTTGCAGCAAGATGTGCTGGGTTCTGAGGTTGAGCAAAGACAGTTATGTTAACTAGCCAACAAATACCAGTGGACTCCTGGGTGGGCACCAAGCAAGGAGTATAAATGTGTTACTGCTATTTATTTTAGACTTTGGTTGTGGAGTCAGTGGAACAGACTCAGTTGTCAGTCTCTCTCTATTGTTAATGCAGCTGCAGCATGTGTTTCTTTCTTGCCTGACTTACTGGTACTGACATATTTGTGTACTTTGATAAAGTAGGTATATTTTACCCATTTATAGTGGTCTGTAGAGTATTACAAAGTATTACAAATGCAACAAAGGCGCATTTGGGAAAATGGAACTTCCATCTGACCCATCTCTTTGGAAGTTCCTCTTTACAAAACCATAAAAGAAAGATGACAGAGTCATCTGAAAAATCATTGATGAACTTAATGCTCCATCAAATCATACTTGTTAGTATAATTCCAGAGCTGGCCCTAGCCATGTACCAAACAATTAGCCATAAATGGTCCTGCATATATCCCACTCACACACATACTTTGTCAACACCCAGGACTTCTCCAATCAATGGGCTGCCACAACCTCCACCTCTTGAAAGATGAACTACAGAGCCCAACCACCTCATTTTAAATACCTGCTTTCTCCCCACTCTAGCTAGTTAAACCCTTCTGATCACCACCCCAGTAATAGCAAGTACACTGACCATCTAATCCTTTCTCAAAAATTACCATTTTATCAAAAAGCCATTTTGCACTGAAGAAGAGTTTTGATTAAAAACATTTGACTAGATCTAGTAATTAATCTTCCTAAAGCTCTTTAAGATCCAACATGGAAAGGCTTTAGAAAAATCATCATCATCATCAAGGCCAATGACAGGCCACAAAGTTATTTTACTTTGCTCCTACATGTTTGGTCTGAATTCTCCATACACACCAGGCCGGATTTCCTTATGGAGTACTGCTTCCTTTTTTATTTTCTGCAGCAGCTGAGCTGTGGAAAAAGGGTAATTGCCTTAAACTGAAGCAGAGCAAACATCCAACAGAGGAGGCAGAGGAGGAAGAGAAGCTGATAGGTCAAAGGCCAACCCTGTCTGTCTTCATTAGTGTCTTTGATCCCCATAATGCTACATTCTACAATTCTCTCATGCATACTACTTTAGTTGAACAGCTATGTTATTTTGTGTAATTTCTACATAATCATAGAAAAAATGGTGACAGTACTGAAACAATGAAAACTATTGACCTTATTCAAACCAGCTGATCAAGCAAACAGTCCCAATTCTTCAAGGCAGTTTAAAATAGAATGTAAGTAGCAGAACAAAGCAGAAATAGAATATTACAGGTCAACCTACTCTGCTCCAGTTTAGAGTGCATTGTTTTCATAACTTCTGTCTACAAACTATAGATATAGTTGGCAAGCTTTAAACAAAAGGAAGTATTCAAAATTATCCCCTGGCTACTATGTGATGGAGCTCCGGATAGCCTTGTAGAATTCCTTTGGTGCAGAATTATTGAAATGCATAAATGGAACACTGACGAATAGGTTTTACAGTGCATCATATTTGCCTGTACAGTAAAAAATATGAACACAACCTAATCAATATGGCAAGATATAAAAGATTAATAATTCTTGAAGGAGCTGCAGTCCATTGCGTTCTAAGTAGACATGGGCCAGAGGGAGGGGGGAAACTGACTCTGCTTGAAAAACCCATTCCATCCCTAATCATCTATCCATGCCTCATGTTATTCTTATGTTATGGGGTAGACAGAGTGAGAGCACAGTAAAAAAAACAGCCACTTTCATTTAAATAAAAGCAGTTCTGCTGGTAAACATGGCAAGATTTTACCTTAGACCAAAAATCTGTTTCCATAACAGGAAATTTACAATAGACAAATTGGAAAGTTTGCAGAGTTATGGCTTTGAAGCCAGCAGGGAAACGCTGGACCAGTACAAGTAAATCAAACAAAACATCCCACCTAATCTTCTTTATCGTAATTGGGATGATTGAGACAATAAACTGGGTCTACAAATTTGAATGATTTCCTGCACAGGAGCTGGGTATCAGGTCATGGCAGTGTGAGTGTCTCAGGGATAACACACTAGATCAAGAAAAAAAATCTCAAATTCATATATTTTAAAGATGTTTTTCTTGTGTTATTAATACCTTAAAATTCTTTCACTTCTGATCATCTAAGAATCTCAATCTAATTTTTCAATATTTATGTTGTTTGCTTACATTTGAATTTCACTCAGCTTAAACAATGAAAATGAACTACCGGTACTCATTTTCAATTTGCTTTCTAGTCAGTTTTGCTTTATACTTCTCCTACACTAGAAGGATGCACCAATCAATGAGCTGCAAATATCAGAGGGGAGTGTTGTTATTTAAACAAACAAACAAAAAAAATCATTGGAAGAACTTTTATATTTAAATTTCTGAAAACATTTGTATTCATGTTAAGCTTTGTAAAATGTAGTTTTTACAAAACCAAATTGGGCTTAACTGAACCCCACAGTCTTCCTTTCTGTGCTTACTTGCAAAATAAAGACTATTTGCCTGGCAGTAGAGACGAGGAGGAAACCTTTGCAGAAGAGAAACAAAATGAAGATTATATAAAGTGAAAATAATGAAGAATACTTTACTCGGCTAAAACTGCAGGGAGATTTTGGTCCTGATTTATTCAAAATGGAACTTGTCTACGTTACTGGGACTAACATCCCCACTTATTTCAAAAAGCACCACTAGAGGGTCAGAGCCTAAGTTTTATGTGTCAGTGACAAGCAGTGTCCCAAATGAGAAGTCACTTTGACAAGAAGTAGAACTTCATGCATTTCTTTTTTTGTTTTATTTATTTATTTAATCCCCAGGCAATTCATTACCCGACTAAGAGAGGAATGTACAAGTGCAGATTTGGATCCATAATTTCCCATTGCTGGTCCATCTTGTTGGTGTGTAGAATGTCTAGCTTCATAAGAAACTATGAAAATTAAAGAAAAAAAAATCAGAGGAATCAATAAGGTTCCGCAAGCTCAAAGTGGAAATTAAACATTACAATACAGAGGTTCATTAAGCTTAATATTATTGTACTACCATTAATTCTGTCCCCTTACCCAAAGCCCTAATTACGTGCTCTCCTCCTATATCATAGTTTCTCTTCTTTAATATTTAGGCATTAACAATAAAAGTTCTCATTTCATCCTATCAGATTGGCATTAATTGCTTTAACAGTTGTTAAAATGCATATTTACATGACAACCAGCAGCAGCCCTAAAATAAACTATTACAGTCAATCAGCTAACTAATGAATGTAGTGAATTCTCAACTGTCATTTTCAAGAGATTTAGGTTTTTCACTTTTTTATTGTTTAAATCTAGTTTGTTTAAAGAGGACATTGTCAAGGAAGACCATGAGACATTGACTTGATCTGTAACAAAACTGTTGAAATTTGACTGCGGAAAATTCTCTGGATCCTAAATACCTGGGTTTTTTGGTTGTTGATCATTCAATTGCCAGAACATTGAAAACAAAAACAATACGCTTCCTACTTTTAGAGCCTCCTAAAACCCGAAGTTTTTTGCTTCCTACTCTGTTATACAGCAATGACACCCTTTTCTAGGAGATGTGCTGACATCAATAATTATTTTCTTATTCAAAAACAGATGCTTTGCAGAGAAAAGTTACTATAGACCAAAGTTACTTTTAAACAAAATAGTCCCATAAATTTCAGGTAAATTCAGCATTTGCTGAGTGGAAATAGAAAAGGGCTCTAACAGGAGAGATTTCCAGGGTCCTAAGTATGTACTACAAATACAGATAAGAAAATAATAGTTAAACTGAGCTATAACAATTATGCACTTGGCAATGTCTAAATGTTCCACCCTTTAGCTTTGTCCAGTGCACATTAAGAGGCAGAAGAGTAACTAGAATGCCAAATACAGCAGCAGAATAGTACGACAAACAACCGAAATGGCTGGTATTAGAACTGTTAATTTCCTCAGAAACACACACCCAATAATCACTTCTTGATTTGAAACATATTTGATTGACAAGCAAATTCCAAACCTGATTTTTTTTGCCGGTCATCAATAGGCCACTAGTCTTGAATATATCTTTTATTTTTAAAACCCAAATTTATATTTCAAAACAGAGAAGGCCTGATCCTGATGGTATTGCAGGTGCTCAGCACCTCTCCGAATCTGGACTCGAGTTAGCGAAGAAAATCGACAATAATTTCAATTTTCCTACGGTGAGAAGACTTCCATTCCATCTGCGTAATTTAAGAACAATCCTGTTTTTAAATGAAGATAAATAACTAGACATAGAAGGAGGGCACGCTGGAGCTCTCCTTCAAATCTGTTATTTTGAAATCCAACTTCTTCTGCTTAAGTGTTCAAACTGTAGCACTGTCCTAATGCTATTCAGCATCATTTATACAAAATTTTAGAGTCTCCTGAAAAATGAAAATGAAGGAAACTCAAAATCTTACTAAGGTTACAAAGCAGCTTTCTTTTTAAAGTTATGTTTCTAACCCCTAGTATTGTTATCTATTCTTATCCTGTGCTGGTATCTAGTTTTTTCCCGTACAAATGTGTTTCAATATCAGAAAGAAGACAGGAAGGAAGTTGTGAAATACACTGCAGTACTTGGAAGCTGAGTATGGGGCTCCGTTGCTATGTGGTTACACCAGCAACAGAACTTTCAAAAACTATCAAGAAAATAAAAATGCATGAATGCCCAGCTAAAGTTCTACTTTAGAGGGGTGGGGAAAAATTGAATGTTCAATGAGCCAGGATCTCTACTTTCTGAACAACACATCGAGTATAAACAGTACTAAAAAGGTTAACACCACACACGCATACACAAACCCAATGCTCGGTAGGCCCCTCCAGGCCCCAATGAAACTGGAATGTTAACAAATTCCTGTATTTTTTTAAGGCCAGAATGGACCAATTAGATCATCTAGTCTGACATCCTGCCTAACACAGGCCATAGAATTTTACCCAGTCACCCCTGTACTGAGACCAATAACTTGTGTTTGACTAAAGCATACCTTCCAGAAAGGCAACCAGTCTTGATCTGAAGACATTAAGAGTCTTCACATTCAGACTGGATGCCTTTCTGGAGGACATGTTTTAGTGCTCAAGGGGCTCACGGCCTCACAGGATTTTATCATCTTAATGTTTATCTACTTGTATTAATTTTCAGAAGAATCTGACACTCATGTTAGACTTGATTCTACAACCCTTGCTCACTTTGAATAGCATCTTGCTGGAAGTATAAACTGGAGTATAAACTACTGTTTAAAGCAAGGTAAGCCAATAGAGCATGGGACATTCAGCACTCATTACAAGAACCTGCAATCTGATGGGGGGGAAGTACGTTAATATAATGGATTGTGCCATACAAAACAGAATCACTATTTCTGGTAATCTTATAGTTCCTGTTAACATTAATTCCTAGTGCACTGCATTAGAATTGTAATCCAGGATGTGTCCTTACTGTCCTGTGGCTGATTGATTTGGACAGGGCACATGTTGGTACAGTGGAAGGGAATTCCACCTGCAGTGCTTATTTTGAACATCAGAAATCACTGCTTTGTTATGACTTTCATGTGGATAACTAACATATCAATGTGGATGACAGTCTACTTGCTAACAAGTGACTATCAGTCAGTACTAACATGAACCTTTAACTAGAAGTCCATTTGATTGGGTTAGACCACTGATGTTTACCACCAATACAAATTTTACTTAATTAAAAAAATTTATAAGAGCTCAGTTTAGTTTAGTCACTTGTAACTGAGGACAACAGCTGAAGAACCAATACATCCCTTTCTTCATTCACAGAGATCATGTAAACTCACGGTACCCACACTTGGAGTTGGATGAGAAATGGTTTTCCTATCCCACAAACATTTCCAAGATTTAGAAAATTCTCCCATTCCATATCAGGACAAAACCAAGATTTTTAATTATTTTTTTTTTAATGAAAACCAGAGAATGAGAAAGGGAGCCAGCCAGCCAGCCACCCACCCAAGAAATGCCAAATGGTTAAAGGACTATCCTGGGACGTGAGAGACCCTGCCTGGTTTGGAGCAGACACTTGAATGTGGGTCTGCCACATCCCAGGAGAATGGCCTGGCCACTAGTCTATTGGCTATTTTGGGGTGGGTCTCTCTCAATCTCTCTTGTTGGAGAGATTATTATTACATTATTAAATAGCCACTGGGCCAGTGACAGAGACTGACTCGATAGCCTGGTGATTAGGGCACTCATTGGGGATTTGGCAGACCCTGGTTCAAGTCCCTACCCTGAAACAGGCAGAGCAGCAACTTGAACCTGGGTCATCCACATTGCAGATGAGTGCCCCAACCAACTGGCTCTTCTGGGGTGGGTAGCATTCTCTTTGCTTTTGTCCAGAAATTCTATCCACGATCTCATAAATCTTTTTAGTCTAACTGGATACCCATTCAATGTTTCAGTTTCAACAAATCAGAATTTTCCAACAAAAAATAGTTTTGGCAGAAGATTCCCAACCAGCTCAGCTGTCTAGTCCCTTTGAAGAAATGATGATAGATTTTATGCTTTATCTGTGACAGAACATCTATTGGTCATTCACTATCATTTTTAATTATCATTTTATATTACAACAGTTGTTAGAAGCCCCAGTCAGGACTGGTGCCCTATTCTGTTGGGTGCTGTACAAAGATATAGTAAAGACAGCTCCTGCCCCAAAAAACAGACTCCGCTACACAACTTACAAAGTAACCTGTAAAAACCTATATCCTCCAACTACTCAGATGAGAGTTACGCTACTGACTTTAATGGCAGCATGATCAAGCCCAAAGTGTCTAAATTGTGGTCATTTGTTTTCTTCTGGGTTCCCATTACATTGGGTTTTTACATTCATGCCTTACTGTTATTTTTGTTATGTAACCAGGAAAATCATTGTTCTCCCTTGCAAACAAAGCCTCACTGTAAATCTGAAAACTAGTACAGCAGTTATTGAAATCAGGAGTGGTTTTTTTTTTAATATTAAAAAAAACATGCTTATGCACCGAAACATTCACAGTACTCAATCACTAACATATATTGTACATAGGCTTGCCAAAAACGTGGCAATTAGCATTAATTTGTGAACAGTTGCACACAAATCTACACATGATAATTAATTTACTGGAAAGCAAACAGGAAGAGAGGACTAAATAATCAGAAAGCAAAGCTTCTGCATAAAATAAAAAAAAGATGGTCGGCTCATTTACTAAAAGACAGATGTAATTAAGTCCAGACATTATTAGGCTGATTCCTTAATTGCATTTGAGATTTGAAGGCACTGGAGGGAAAGAAACAACAGTGTATGACTTGTGCATCCCAGATTTTATCCTACCTCCATGTGGCTGTTCAAGCCCACTCCTTGACTTGCCATAGCCATAACTCAAGGGTATTCTCTGGTAATTAGATGGAGAAGCAGGAGGTGAACACATCGGTGACATGGGAGGAGACTTGGTTTCCTGCTTCAGAAACAACAAAGTGGAATTCTGAGGTGACTACAGAAATAGGTGGAGTAATATTGCATATCAGTTCAATCACATACAGCATGATGTGCAAGGCATAGTAATAACTGACAAATACTCATGCCCCTATTTCCAAAAGAAACGTGATTATAAATGGAAGATGGCAAAGTGATGCTTTGATGTTGAGCCTTGTTCTGGGGGTAAAATACAGCCATATACATCTGAAGGGATTAGAATGAACTCTAAGACATTTTACTTGCATATATGTCTGGAGAAATATTTTTGTTAAATCTTATTATTACTGGGTATTTTTGGATTACATATTGTATTTAGGTGTTTGAATTCATTCCCCATTTAAGAAAACTTTTCATTTCAGAAGAAGGCAAAAAATGAAAAATAACTAAAAGCACCAATTCAAAGATTTATTTTAAATATTCTGTGAACTGCCTTTGTGGGAAGTAGATTTGTAGATGTTGTCAGATCTAACTTGGAGTTTGTTTCCTTTTTCCTTGAGGATTGAGCTTTTGTAGAAGACAATAATTTACTATATAAACAGAAAAAATATGACTTGCAACACCAAGGCAATAAAAGTCACCTAGGAAGAGTTATAGGTTTGGTGGCAATGCTCTACTAGAATGAAATTATTCACAGAAAACAGATATTTGCAAACTTATTTCCAATTTCATTATTCTATATGTGCATGCCCCATTAACTCATTAATAATGGTTAGCCTCAGACCAAGTTTGTTATTACTAATACTGGCAGTGCCATAAGTGTGCATGTGCTCTACAGATATATACACTGCCTGCCCCAAGCAGCTTACAGCACAAAACATGATACATGATGAGATGATGTCAGGCAAGGGAAAGGGTCATGCAAATAACAGGAGCTGTGAGATTGCTTGTTTTTATAAGCATGTAAGCATCACACTCATTCTCATTTTTTATAGATTCAGACAATATGAATCTCTTTATGATTCAGCTATTTTTAACTAGGAATTCAGAAGGTCAGAGTGGCAGCAGGATTCATTACTGGAAGAATATTTCCCTGAGGGTGGATTTCTAGAACTAGCCTGGTATAACACCAGAAGAGATTAGAGGAGAAAGAATATGGTAGGTTTTTTAAGGTCAGGCTTGACAAAGCCTTGGCTGGTATGATTTAGTTGGTGTTGGTGCTGCTTTGAGCAGTGGGTTGGACTAGATGACCTCCTGAGGTCCCTTCCAAACCTGATATTCTATGATTCTAGGTTTCCTCAACCCAAAAACAAGGAGTTGTGACGATGGCAGACCAGTTGCCAGCTCATGCCAAGGCCCTAGGCCTCAACTGGAGACCGACAAATATATAACTGGAACCGGTCTGGCTCATCTGTGTGTTAGTATTGTTAAAATAGGTATTAGAGTTATAAATATGTGGTTAGTGTTTAGACTTTACAGAACGCTTGCAAATTACTGCATGCATTAATCTCACTTGTTATATCTGTATCCAATGTCATAAGGTAATATTTAAGTGTTTGCTCTGTAACTGTAAATCACCAGTCAGGAGAGAAGCATTACCAAGTGTGAAATACTACAGGACGTATTATCTCCTGCCCAACAAAAGAAGGCCCATAAACACCAAACAAACCATAGGGAACATCAGAAGACAAAAGTTTTTGTTGATTGCTCTCCTCCCCCCATGAATAGGAGATATGCAACTGAATTCCTCCCAGCAGCTGAACTTGCAACTCGAAAGGGCAAGGAATAAAAGGCCCTAACAAGGAGAAACTGTATCTCTATGTTGCTAGGACTTTAGGAGGGCAAGATTTCTAAGCATAAGTGAGGGATCCCAGCTGCTTAGCCTGGGTTAGCCCTAAAGGACATACAGAGTTTGCACATTACAGCAGCTTCTATCACCTTTTGGAACCTAAGACTGTATGTTTATCTGCTTTTAACCTTGTAAATAACTCTCTTATTTCCTTTTCCTAGTTAATGATTCTTTAGATCAGGGGTCGGCAACCTTTCAGAAGTGGTGTGCCGAGTCTTCATTTATTCACTCTAATTTAAGGTTTCGCGTGCCAGTAATACATTTAAACGTTTTTAGAAGGTCTCTTTCTATAAGTCTATAATATATAACTAAACTATTGTTGTATGTAAAGTAAATAAGGTTTTTAAAATGTTTAAGAAGCTTCATTTAAAATTAAATTAAAATGCAGAGCTCCCCCAGACTGGTGGCCAGGACCCGGGCAGTGTGAGTGCCACTGAAAATCAGCTCGCGTGCCGCCTTCGGCACGTGTGCCATAGGTTGCCTACCCCTGCTTTAGATAGTTTATCATAGGATTGGCTACAAGCATTGTCACTGGTGTGAGATCTAAGGTGCAATTGACCTAGGGTAAGTGACTGGTCCTTTGGAAAGGGGACTAACTTGAATACTGCTGTGATCTTTGGTGTTAGGGACCATCTATCACTATCTGGGTAGCCAGATCGATCGGAGTACCCAAGGGGACTGTCTAACTCCATGCCTGCGGAGTTCACACTTGATAATTAGTTGGTGAAATCTAAATATAGAACTCACAACCAATCTGGGGGCCATGGATCAGCGTTCACATTGCACTCCCCACCAGTAAGCATCCCAGGGCAGGGAAGTTAACGATCCAACCAGTGGATCAATTTCAGGGATGAATCCTGGTCATGTGCCACCTGGAGCATGTTGCACATACACTAAGAACACAACCAATCTGGGGTTTGCATCCTGCTTCTTAACAGTCTGCCCTGATGTTGGTACTCACGCTCTTGAGCCACTCCAGACAGCTTGACAGGAGTCATGAAGGGCTGTCTATTCTCTTAGCCTTCCAGCATCACTCTTTTCATTAATTATGTTGTCACTAGGGACTGTACTTATGATAGAGACTCATTAGTTTGGTTGTTGTTTTTTAAACGAAGGCAGTTTTCTACTTTTCCCGTCTGCATCCTTCTCTCCCCCGCTAAAAAACAGCAACTTTGAACTACGTAAGCAAAGTTTCTGAAACATTTGCAAAGAATATTACAGCTCTAATGAGCGATGACCCACAGTGATGACTTTATGGTAAATATGGGTGGGGGGAGAAAGAATGTGTGCATTTTGCTGGGTGTGACTGAGTGGGGGATGTTCTTAGTGTTTTGCATGGATACTGTGTGAGTCTCAGTTACCCCGTGTGCTTAACGAGGTGGTGGGAGAGGGTTTGTTGTTACAGAGAACCAAGTGTGACCTCGCTTAGCAGCCAGGACCCCAGACAACTGCCTGGAGATGGAAACCCTAGCGACCAGTGACTGTGGTGACCAGGAGGCCTACCCCAGCTTGGCTGTCAGCAGGTTCTGGCCAGTGGGAGGACAAAGGGCTGAGAGAGGACCCCGGTGACCTGACCAGCTGGTTCCAGCCAGTGGGGAACAAAGGATGGAAGAAAAAGGGCCCAGGCAACCTGTTTATCTGGGACCAAAGACAAAGGACAGGGGAAGAGCTGTTGGGGGAGATGATCTAGGATGATTGGCTGGAAGGAGGGGGCTTCTGGGCTCAGGAGAGGGAGCAGCCAGAGCCCATCTGGATGCAGGAGAGACCTAGATGTACTGTGCTGAGGGTTGCTAGGCCTGAGAGCCCGGAGAGTTTCCTGTGCTGGGTTCAGATGCTCAATAAACCCTCCTGTTTTACGCTGGCTGAGAGTCACTCCAGACTAGAGATCAGGGTTGCATTATTCCCTCTGGGAATGGAGGTCCCGGGGGTCCAGAGCGAGTAGACTCCCCAAGGGGGCCCACGCTGAGAGACAGGCATGCTGAAGGCTCAGAGAAGTGAGGTTCCAGGAGGCGGAGGGGCCTATGGCTTAACCCCCGAGAGTGGACCCCTGAGAAGGACCTGCACACTGAAGGGGGTTCCTCCCAGGGACCATACGGAGCCAAGAGAGAGCACGAGTCCTCTGAGTCCGTGACACTGGGCAAGTTATGTTGATTTATGTGGGGGCTGAACTGCAGCACTTGAACCAAGTGATCCACCATCTGTGCAGTCTCCCTCACACAACCAATGAAACTGTTGCATGCAAATTTGCTCTAGAGAAAGGGTGGTGATTGATTGAGTTACCTCTGATATCACAATGGTCTAGGACTCTTGGCATGGCATAGACACATGCCTTATTATAGCTGAATACCTGTGTCACAATTAATGTAATTTGTTAAAATGGATGAGAATTTAAAAATTGGATGGTAACAGACCATGAATCCCAGTGATGATGGAACCTGGTGATATTCTAAACAAAAAGAGCTCTCGAACATGCTTGTAGCAATTTCCATCCCATTACACTGATTTAATGGACATTCTAGGCTTCAGATTGACAGACAGAGTTACAATCCTGGAATCTTATAGATAGATAATAGGCGAAATACATAATTCTATAAAAGTTCTTGTAAATAAAATCCTCTTGGGATACAGTTGGTACAAGAGAATATCAAAATAAGAGCAAAATCCTGCCAACAATTATTCACATATATAGAGTTAACCTTGCATGGAGTCCTATTGAACTAATGGAATAAGCATCCATGAGTTAACTGTTTGCAGGATTGGACTAAAGTTGCACTCTACACGAACATATTTGCCTTAAATAAAGCCTTGTTACCTTTTTATCCCCTTCATCTGATCTTTTGAAGGAATTTTTTTCCAAGGTTGGATGTGGAAGCTGAAATTTAACTCCGTGTATTTCTGCTGCATTTCCATATCTCATTTCAATGTCATTTTTGAGTGCCATAAACCGAGGAAGAGGCAATTCTTCATTAACAGAAAGAAAGAGAAGTTCAAATGAGACTACAGTATATTAAAATTCTTTGAAGCAGTATCGCAGTGCAAAACCAATGAAAAGTTAAACTATAAAATAAGAAATAGCACTAAGAATTACAAAAAAATAACCTATGGAACGTCTGAAATTATTTTTGTCTTAATAGCAAATATTATGAGATTTGCACATACTTGATTACTGTAAAGAGAGAGAGGTGCCTCATTCACAGTATGAAGCCAAGTCTCAAACTCATTTCTGGTCTTAACCCTAGCCAGCACTATTACATATGTTGTTCATTGTTGTCTACAAGTAGTTTCCAGAAGAAACTATGGGAGCAATCAATTTATTAGGGCAAGATCATTGTATCCTCCATGCTGTCACTAGAACAGAAAAAAAGCACCGGAGTTAAACAGACCTATTCAAAGCCTCGTAAGACTGTGGTGTCAGAAATGCTACCATTTGCCATAGCTCAGAAGAACTGAAGAGTGACACTTATAACCTCATGCATCATCCAAAAATCCAATACTGTTCTAAGGAAATTCATCATCTTCTTGTTGCAAACTTCCACTTCTCCACATAGTAAGTTATAAGATCAATACAACAAAAGAAACAGAATAAAGGCTCCTGGAATCAAGTAAAACACGATAGCATCTTTATAACCACTTATACATACAGCTGTTTCTATGAAATCAATCTACTTTTGCTGTACATCACTCATCCATTCCAACAGCTCTACTGTGTTTCTGGGGACAATGTAATTAGTGCTTTTGAAACCTGGAAACATTTCAGCAATTAAGTGGGATATTAATCCAAAGACCATTGTTCATTCACATCTATGCAGTATTTCCAGCTGCTGTATTTATGAAACATACACATTGAATCTCACTTGATTCAGATTGCTAAAGTAGCTAGTTTCTTCTAAAAGTAACCTGATTGTCCTAAAAAGATGCTTAGGATAGACAGAGCAGGAATCTGACTGAAAATTCCCCCAAAATGTCTATTTAATAATGTCCCCTTGGCAGATTTATGGTTTACTTGTTGGTTTGGGTTTTTTGTTTTTGTTTATTTGTTCTTTTTTTAAATGTAATCCTTCAAAACAAATGCAGAAGCAATGTGAAAATCCCAGCTCTCAGGCTTGATGATCAAACAACATATTTAGTCTTAAAAGTGCTTTAGATAAGATTCTTGACAATTTAATTTTCACTCCCCTGCTGGCTCACAATGATGCAATAGCAAAGATAGCAGGAAGAACTGGGTCCAACATGCAAACACACATCATCAGTCTCAACAAATGCAGTGCTCTGGATTTACTGGTGGAAGATCACAAAGGCTAAAAACTGGGATCTCTTTCAAACACAGTTTTGAAGGTATAATGGCAAATTAAAACACACGTGCGTGTGCGCGCACACACACACAGTCATGGGGATAGTTTTAAAAAATTAAAGTGTAATTTGTAAGTAAAAATGGCATCAAATCTGTGATCCTGCTACAAAACACATATACAGTAAGGTTTTGAAACATGGCACTACCATGTTATACGTTTCTCAGACTTATTTCTGCAACATCAATGTAAATACCTTGATACCTCTAGTTCAACTCTGAAAACCTATCCTAATTAATAATGCCTTAATTCTGATTGACACCCAAGTGAGTTCTTTTCAAGGATTTCAAGAATAATATTTAATTCAAATAGAAGGATCAAGAATGACAAAATGGCACAAGATAGCTATGGAAATAAGAGCTTGGAATTCCTATTCCACCTGAAGCAGTTTACATTTTAGCACTAAAATCACTTGATTACAACAGATGCCTTTGGATGGATCCCTGGTTAGTGGGAGTTCAGCAAAAGCTGTGCTAAACTGAATTGTTACTACATTGTTTCTATGTCAAACTGACATAATAGGCCCAGCAGAGGATCAGAATTTGAGATGCCCACTTTGAAGTTTAAATCCTTTGCTTCCGGGCTGGCAGTGCAGGTGGCACAATGGATCTAATTACTTTCATTTATTAGCTATTAGGTTCTCACCAGTAAACATGTTCTTCCATCCCATCCACTTGGGATTTTTAAGAAGTTTCTTTTAACAAATATTTTTTTCTGCAGAGAAGTTGTACTTAACATCAAGTTACAATGGAATCCGAACAGCAAATATGTTTGAAATAATCTCTAATGGACACGCTAACACAGCAGTTCTCAAACTGTAGGTCGGGACCCCAAAGTGGGTCACAATTCTATTTTAATGGGGTCGCCAGGACTGGCATTAGACTTGCTGGGGCCCAGGGCTGAAGCCAAAGCCCAAGCCCTACAACCCAGAGCCAAAGCCAGAGCCCAAGGGCTTCAGTCCTGGGTGGCAGGGTCCCCTGCCTGGGGCTGAAGCTCTTGGGCTTTACCCCTTCCCCCCCAACCCAGGGCAGTGGGGCGCAGGTGGGCTCAGGTTTTGATCCCCCCTCCTGGGGTCCTGTAGTAATTTTTGTTGTCAGAAGGGGGTTACGGTGCAATGAAGTTTGAGAACCCCTGCTGTAACATTTACTGACACAGGGAGTGATTTTGCTACCTGCACCCATTCATTTCAACAGGTCTACTTGCAAAGAAAGACCCCACTCTGTCAAGGTGTTCCCAAGGAGCCCCAACTTCAATAGGGCTCAATGTAGTTGCAGAGATCAGCCTGAGCAGAACTTAAGCCTAAAGTACCACACAGCACGAGTGAGGGTGGCAAAAATGGACCCACAACGATGACTGTCAATTGTCCTGTTATTTCTATAATGCTTTTACGGATGCAGAAGCAATTTGTACTTTTCTATCCATGTAACAACTTTGCACATAGAACCCAAGAATTTCATTGTAAATTTCTACCCATAATTTATGGATTATAAAACTAATTTCACCTCTTCCCCTCCTCCCCCTAAAATATATATAAATAAATAAATAGGATTTTGCTTTACAAACAAGTTGGAAGAAAAACTAACTGAAGCAAATAATGAACAATGAATGGTAAAGAAATTAAAGAACAAGCTCGTAACACACCAAGTAATGTGAGCTACTTACCACTCTTAATGCTCTCTAGCCGTACTGGAAGGCCAGACTGCGCTGCAGCAATTAGTTTCAAAGCAACATAAAACTGAGCGGGACCAAAATAACCCACACGTTTTGCCCCACAAAGTTCTGTGATCTAAAAGAGAAAAAATACACACTTTGTAAAATACTTCTCACTCTTTCCTCTTAGGAAACTTGCATTGAGTATTGAAGCAGAGAAGTCTTCTAGAACTAAAAACTCACAAGTCTGTTTGCAGTGCTTTATTAAAAGTGAGCAATCCAGTTCAGGTCACTCTGTATACCTGAATACCCCTGAATTTAAAATAGATAAGTAGTTATTTATTACTCCTTCAGAAAACACTGCAGTGTAGCATGGCTGCTATAAAATAGTTAACATGTTTCTACCCAAGAGGTGACTGCATTTCATTAGTAGGTGAAACGATCCCTGTTAGCAAACAGTCTATTTCAGCTCTTTGGGCTGAAAGCTGCACTATAAATAGGAGGTATTAATTTTCACTATCTCTGTCCAACAATAATTCAGATAATCATTCTAACTACAAAATAAAAATCATAAATACCCTAAAACTATTGCAGCAAAATATTTTTGTGAAAAGTTAGGCAGGCTTGAAATTAAACTCCTCTCTCAAACACACACACACAAGTTAGAAACTACTAGTGCAAATTAACCTACTCTGTTTATTAGACCTCAACATCCTTGTCTATGGAGAAGACAAATTTAGTTTTTCCTCATTCGGTTCACCTGGCCTTCAGGTAAACAAACATTCTCTATTGGCAAGTTTGAAATGCAGACCAAAACTGAGCATATGTCCACCCAGCAAAACAAAACAAAACAAAAAAACCCACAGCACTGAGTCTCAGAGCCTGAATCAATTGACTCAGACTCATGCTGTGGGGCTAAACATAGCAGTGTAGATGTTCGGGCTGGAAAAGTAACTGGAAAACTAATCCAAACTAATTTCATCCATAAGGCTGGCTTTTTATCTCCGAATCAGTGCAAACACAAGGCACTGACTTTCTTCAGAGTAAGCACTCAGCATTCTTAACTATCTCGAGTAATTCTGTATCATCTGCAAACTTTCACATCTCACCATTTACCCCTTTTTCCAGATCATTTATGAATAAGTTGAACAGCACTGGTCCCAGAACACATCTTTGCAGGACCCAGCTATTTAACTCTCTCCATTGTGAAAACTGACCATTTATTCCTACCCTTTGTTTCTTTTAACCAGTTACTTTTCCATCAGAGGACCTTCCCTCTTATCCCAAGATTGCTTACTTTGCTCAAGAGCCTTTGGTGAGGGATCTTGTCACAGGCTTTCTGAAAGCCCAAGAACCCTCTATCCATTGATGAGGCATTATTTCCCTTTACAAAAGCCATGTTGACTTTTCCCCAACATATCGTGTTCCTTTGTGTGTCTGATAATTCTGATCTTTACTATAGTCTCAACCTATTTGCCTGGTACTGAAGTTAGGCTTACTGGCCTATAATTCTAGGATTGACTTCTGGAGCCTTTTGAAAAAAAATCCGTTACCCTAGTTATCCTCCAGTCATCTGGCAGAGAGACTAACTGGCAGGTTACATACCACAGTTAGTAGTTCTTCAATTTCACATTTGAGTTCCTTCAGAACTCTTGGGTGAATGCCATCTAGTCCTGGTGACTTATTACTGTTTAATTTGTCAATTTGTTCCCAAACCTCCTCTACTGACACTTCAGTCTGGGACAGTTCCTCAGATTTGTCACCTAAAAAGAATGGCTCAGGTGTGGGAAGCTCCCTCACATCCTCTGCAGTGAAGATTGATGCAGAAAATTCATTTAGCTTCTCTGCAATGGCCTCGTCTTCCTTGAGTGCTCCTTCAGCATCTCAACTGTCAAGTGGCCCCACTGACTTTTTGGCAGACTTCTTGCTTCTGATGTACTTAAAAAAAAATTTGCTGTTAGTTTGTGTCTTTTCCTAGTTGTTCTTCAAATTCCTTTTTGGCCTAGCTAATTATACTTTTACACTTGACTAGCCAGAGTTTATGCTCCTATAAATAAAACAAGAATAAACGTATTAACAAAGAACAGATATTTAAGTGATAATAAGTAAGACCAGAAGATACTGATATGGTTATAAGTAAAACAAAACAAAACATGCTTTCTAGTTACTAAAACTTAACTTCACCAAGTTACAATCTTTGCCTATGCAGGTTTCTCACCGACAGTCAGTTTCAGCTACTCTTAGTTTTCAGGCCAAGAAGACCCACTTTTCATGGGTTCAAATGGTATTGCTCCCCCTTCATTTCCTATATGATAGATGCTAAAATGGCTCTCTGCTTCTGCTTATAATTCCCCAAAGTCTACTGTCCTTATTTCAAGAGCCAGGAATGCTTGCTGGGGGTGCAGGCTCCATCCCCTGTCATGATCATTAAGTGGTCTTCTCCCCTGCTCATTTAGCTTTATGGCTTTGTTTACTTCATATGTAGATATATTTTTCTTTATCCTCTGGATTGTTACCTGGCTCAATTTACATTGGAGACACAGGAAAACAGGCAAAACAATATTCCTTTGTCTAGGACAGGTTGGGTAGATGCACTGCCTGCAAAATACCTTTTAAGAACATATTTCCAGCATGTATAACTCTTTACACACTGCCATACGTACAACATAGAGTAATGTTAATGACCAGTGTCTTATCAGTCTGCATATGCTATTTTAAATTACACCTTTACATATAGAATATGACAACAGTGTGTTGGGGAAATGAGTATGTCAGGCCTGATGTGAGTTATGATATGGTGTGCCCTCTGCCAGTTAGGGCTGAGAATATAGAATGGCCATACTGGGTCAAAACAATGGTTCATCTAGCCCAGTATCCTGTCTTTTGACAGTGGCCAAAGCCAGGTGCTTCAGAGGGAATGAACAGAACAGGGCAATCATCAAATGATTCATTCTCAGCTTCTGGCAATCAAAAGCTAGGAATATCCAGAGCCTGGGGTTGCATCCCTGACCATCTTGACTAATAGCTGTTGATGGACCGATCATCTATGAACTTATCTAATCCTTTTTGAACGCTGTTATAGTTTTGGCCTTCACAACCTCCTCTGGCAACAGGTTCCACAGGTTGACTGAGTTGTGTGAAGAAATACTTCCTTTTGTTTGTTTTAAACCTGCTGCCTATTAATTTCATTGGGTGACCCCTGGTTCTTGTGTCATGTGAAGGAGAAAACAACACTTCCTCATTTACTTTCTCCACACCATTCATGATTTTATAGACCTCTATCACATCCCCCCTTAGTCATCTCTTTTCCAAGCTGAACAGTCCCAGTCTTTTTAATGTCTCATACAGGAGCTGTTCCATATCCCTTATCATTTTGTTGCCCTTCTCTGTGCCTTTTTCCAATTCTAATACATCTTTTTTTAGATGGAGTGACCCGAACTGAGGGACTCCCTGCGTCATAGCAACACTCGGTCATCAGGACAGTACACACAGGTAAACCAACAGGTCAGTCCTGGTGTGAAGCAATGCAGTGTGCTATACCAGTGGGAGGACTGAAAAGTTAACTCAAAATAGAACTACATTCACAAACTTTTTCCAAAGTGGATTTATCCAATTCACAATAACTAGCCAGTTAGTTCAAAAGAAGAATTGCATCATGTGGACGCAGCCCCTTTCAATTAAAAAAATAAATAAAAAAAAGGCCGTTAGTCTGAAATGAATCACCCATGTAGACTAACCCTACATGGCTACTGCTCTGGCTGAACAAGCCTTGGCTTTCTTCTCCTCCTCTTAGCTTCTGAGATGCCTGGCTTAAGTCCATCTTGTGATCAAGGAATTAAGAAGCTTCCTTCCTTTGGCTATCTGATGAACAGGGAGATGGAGACTCTGAAGCTGTATTTTTGCAATTAATCAAGGAAAGTTTGCCATTACCTTACTTGAATGTATTTACTTTTCTGGTTTACTTTTTATAACTGACCACATCTTATTTTCACATTTTTTTCCAGCAGGAATCAGGGGCCTCCGGCTTGCACAGGGACTGGAGCTGGGAGCATCCTGTGTGGGGAGAAATGGACGGGAGAGCAACTTTGCTCTAATGATGGCCCTCTCCCCAGAGGAGCTGCACTCTGCACAGTGTCCCGGGGTACTATGAGGAAGGATGAAGGTTTTGGTTGGGGGCTTGGGGGAACCGAGTTAAGGGGACTGGGGCTGTACAGGTGATCAGTAGTAATGGGGAGATTCAGCATCTCTTCATCAAGGCATCAGCACTTGATGACCTTCCATTTGCTGCTGCTTTGGGTCCCCAGGGTACTGAGGCAGCAACATGGTAGGGAGACCTTGATGAGCCACACTGTCGTCACAGAGTGAGTCTGACCCCCAACCCCGTGCTGCTGCCTAGAGCTCAGGGCCAGCTCCAGGCACCAGCCCACCAAGCTTGTGCTTGGGGCGGCACCTGGAGGGGGGTGGCGCGGGGCTCCGGCCGCCGGGGAGAGCGGGGCCGCGACTGGGCTCGCCGCCCTCCCCGCGGCGCTCCGGCCGCCGGGGAGAGCGGGGCTGCGGCGGGCTCGCTGCCCTCCTCCCGGCGCTCCGGCCGCCGGGGAGAGCGGAGCCCCGGCCGGGCTCGCCGCCCTCCTCCCGGCGCTCCGTGGGGGGTGGGGGGGGGAGGCGGCCGGAGGCTTTTTTCCCTGGGGTGGCAAAAAAGCCAGAGCCGGCCCTGCTAGTGCTGCAGAGCCAAGGCGATCTCTGCTTGAAGTGCTGGCTTCCAACAGTGCAAAGAAGAAACAGCAGCCCTTCAAATGCTGATGCCTCACCAGACACACTTGGGTCACCCCATCCCAGTTTTCCTATACATATCCCTGATTTCCTCACTCCAGGTCCTGCTGCACACATCCCCAGGTCCTACACAATCCTCCCCCACATCCCAGCTCACTCTTCTGCTCCCCAGGGGAGGGTAGCCCTGCAAATGTGAAAACAGAATAAGGTCCAAATATAATTTTTTATATATATATATATATTAATTTCACAAAGCTCTCTCTCTCTCTCTATATATATATATATATACACATACACACACACAAACACACACAGATTTGTGAAATTAATATAAATATAACAAATTTCAAAAAGCTGAAAACAATT